ATATATTCCTCAGACTAAAAGGTGAAAAACATGGCTGCCTGCTAAATCTGATTTCTGGCCAGCCAATTCAGACATAACCTTTCTTTAAGTTCATTAATATTTACCCATTAGCAATGATCTTTATAAACTTTCCTCTTATGTGGTTACGAGGGGCTATATACATTCCAAATTTTATTGTTTTAGTATGCCGGTGATGGTGTTTGCCTTAAAAGCACCGGCTGTGGGCTACCAAATAAGCTCTGAAGCAATTCCATGAGTGATCATGAGTCACTATTAAGGGCTGATCCTGGCTTCTTATTGATAGGAGCAAAAAAGCGTAAGGTAGGCAAATACGCCTCCTGGTAAATAAACTGGACTAAATGCTAGTTTAGTTAAAAATGACAAACCTTTTTAAATTTCAGTATATCTTGACATTTTTGTTTCTAACCATTCATCTTTGGAAAGTGCAGTGGTGTTATAATGCATACCTTCCGGAATCCTTGAGTTTTGTTTTGACCAGATCCATGGATGAGCAAAGGATGAAAGAAAACGGTGTCTCCCTTCTCCATCACGAGGTGCACTCGGGCATTGTTTTCGTCATAGTCCTGGATTCCGTGGAACATTATGTTAACTCCCCCCTAGAACACATGAGAGAAACCAAGTCTGTATTTGAGGAAGCCAGTAATTACAGACTTTGTCAATGGTTTATCAGGAAAAGCAAAGGTTTGCGAAGTTCTTCCAAGGGAAAGAGATAAATAAATTAGATTTTTTAAAAAAAAACAAAAAAAACATGTAAATATACAAAAGCTTCTCAGATGTTAGGAAGTCACATGTTGGTATTAAAATCATGGGTTTTTTGGACCAAATAAAGATTTGGAATTTTCCCCTACCCTTTATTACTGAATTATAAATGAAGATCTAGGTCAGCTCTGCATTTTGTGGTTAACGCAGGAGACCACCTTTCCAGCCTGAATCCGTAAACATTCTTTCCCAGCATGATATTCTCCTCGCCTTTGGAACTTTGCATAAATCATTCTTCTATTACTCAGGAGTATCTCTGAGAAGCTATTCTCCTGAACTAGGGAAGAGAAAATGCTCCATTTTTCCGAGCTCAGAAACCACGCACATCACATCCAGTGTAAAGAAATAAGAATAGTAAATTACAACATGGTATTTGTTTAAAACTATTTCCAACATTAGTTATTGCTCTAGGTAATGGTTATGTCTTTATTACAGTGAGAAGTGATTTAAAGTTTTCAAGCCTTTATGGGGGAGGGGCAGTTGCTATTTTAGGGAGCAGGCTGGGCAGCACCCCATTCCCCTCCCTACGTCTCCCAAATTCCCTTTGGGGAATGACTGATTCCCTACTGGACTATGTTGGGACTTGGCTCCAGCGTGCTACTCCCCTGGCCAGGATGGATATGAGTGTGTGACCCAAGCGAAGCTAATCTGACCTCCCACCATGGCCACTTTGAATCTTAGAGGATGGATGAGACCAGACATAGGGTTCGTCTGCCCACGCCAGGGGCCCCACCCCCACTCTTCCCACTGAGCAATGATGCCACTTTCCCGCCCACCAGAGCTAGCCAGCCTTCCGTGAGTCAGCATGACCCCATGGCTCTCTAAAACACTCCTTTTTGCTTGCACCAAACCTTCCCTAAACCTCACCTTAATTGATGAATCTCACAATTTCAGATTTTATTTCAGAATCCAGACTCAAATTATTTTCACTTGACACTAATCATCAGTGCACGGATTCTAAGCGAGACAGACGTTCTTAAAGCCACCTTCTTTACTTCCTACAGAACCACATTCATCCTTCCTGCCTCAACAATAGGTGCTCTTCCCATTCTGACCATCATCACGGGGTTTCAAGACGTTATTGCCTCGGACCTAAAACGCTAAGACTGAATATTCCTTTTAAATGTTATAGAATTGTCTTGGCTGTTTGTACAGTAATTTTTCAAATACTTTTCAAATACTCGAAATAGCTCTGAACATCTTGTCGCAGATAGCAGGAAAACATGCTTAAAAATGGAAAAACTTGCTTTTATCTTCCTTGACTTTTCCAAACAATTTCCAAGGAAACTCTGGCCACAAATACTGGGATGGAGTCATCCCACTGAGTTCTGAGAAAGAACAAAATTAAAATTGAACAACTTGCTTTTTTTTCTTCCTTGATTTTTCTGAACAACTTCTGTGGAAACTTTTGCCTCATATAGTGGAATGGGTTCATCCAACTGAGGCCTAAAAACACCAGTTGATAATTCTGCATCACATCTTTTAAGATACAAAGATATTTTCCTTGTACATTTGAACAAATTCCAAACTTCATCATTAGGGAAAGCCACCGTTGCTCCCTTGAGGAAAAGGCAGGGGCTACTGGGGGGAGCCCACTGCAGTTTTCCTTCTGGTGCTGCCCTGTGGCCTCTGACACCCAGCAGTGTGATGCGATCATGTTCATGTGGCGGTAGCTGTCATTTTACGGCTGGTTCATCATCTTTACCATAAACCTATACCGTCTATCTTTACACCCCTCATCCTAACTTCCAACATCTAGGATAATATCTACTCCCAAGCCACCTGTTTCTTCTAAATATTGGCTTGTCAGAAAAGTCACAACGTATTTTTTCTGTTTTTTGTTGCATAAATGCGTCATGACTTTTCCAACAACCCAACAGCTTTCAGCATCATGAGGTTTCCCATTAGATTCACCGATCACTCAGGCTACAGAAGGCCTGAGGCTTTCAAGGGACGGCCTGTCTCCAAGGCTGTTGAAATCACTTTGGCTCCTGAATAGCTATTGTACCCAGTGTTCTTGTTCCATCCATTATCAGCACTGATTTTCCTGGAGAGAGATGAGAAAGATAATGCAGAGCTGTATGGGCGCGTACTCCATCCCAAATGGTTCCAGCAGCTTGAGCGCATGTGACTTTCTGGCTTGTGAACGGTGCTTATGTACTGTAACAACTTCCTTCAGTCCAGGGTCTTCAGCATCCAGGGTTAAATCCCGACTATGTCATCATCTGGTTGAAAGAATGATACCTTGCTTCCTACATCTAACACGATTCCAGGAACAGAACCCTGCTCCATCTTCATTTCTGCTGGAAGCTTTGTATGTATCTGGTTCAGAGCACAAGCTTCAACTTGAAGTTTCACATACTTATCCTCCATAACAGGAAGATTTTACCTTTCTTGAAATACAAATGTTATTTCTTTGTGTGTAGAACTCTGTTGAAAATATAAGCCTTTCATAGTCACCATAAAAACCTGTCTCCGAGCGGCCCTAACGGCCCCTCATCCATGAAGAACCAGTTTGATCCCATCGCTCCTGGGCTCAAAAGCTTTTAATAGTCCTCCAGCATCAATAGCTGAGTCTATAAGCCGTGGAACAGCCAGCCACGCAGCGGAACGCTGCTCGGCCCTCCCCCGAGACTGCGCTGGTCTCTCCAGCTGGGAGGAGACACTCCCTCCCTCTTCTTTACTCCCAGTCATATCTCACTGTGTGTGAGTCTGGGCACGTGCATGGGGTCGCGGAGGTGATGTCTTATCTCTACAATTAGGCTTCATAATGTCAGATCCTGTAGAGCACCTACCAGAGTTCAAACCCTTGTTGAAAGTGCACAAATGACGATTTTCTCTGACATCCTTGAATTTTCCCGGATCCTGATTTCCAAATCCTAGAACAATGTTTTGCTATGAAAGGAAATGCCAGCTCATTGGTAGAGCTCTTCATGTACACTGACGTGAAATCAAAACAGTAAAAGATTCTGATCCACGCTCAGCTGCTAGGCAGACCTACCTCCCACTGCGGATAGTCGTGTGGCTTCAGGGTGCCTTTGTGTGTGCCGGGGAGCACCACCAGACAGCCGTTGTTGCGGTCGATGTGTTCCATGGCCGTCCAGGCGCAAACAATGTTGTTGCTGGGCCTGAAGGGGAAATAGTGCAGATCCTGGTGCAGGGGGTGACGGGATGTCTTCTTGCCTGAAAAGGAACCTGCTGTTAAAAGACGCCCGAATCTCAGAATTCTTCTCCTCTGCCTGAAAACCCAGAACAATGCCCTACCCCTGAAAACCCATGCCAAGCAAAGGAAACAACACCCTAAGATTAGCCTCGAAATGTAAGCACCAAATTGGAACATCAAATGAACACAGCGGCCCCAGATCCTATCCTTTTTTCTGGGTTTTTGGTAGCCAGATACTTACACTATTTTCTGATACATATATCATCATCTCTGTTGTGCTTTATTCTTTTCTAACTCTGGTTTGGGCACGGAGCCTAGTACTCCAAAAAAGTTTGGTTAATTACATTGAAGAAAGTGGTCAGATCTGAGGTTCCCCTAATAATCTGCGAAGTGACTAATATAAAATATTAACTAACTAACTGAAAGGCCTCTAGGAGGTTTCCCCACCAAACTAAAAGCATTTGGTTTATAATCACCGTGGAGAGTGAGAGGTACCATGACCACAGGTACATTTTCCCCTGGTTTTACCCTCTACATTTGATTCCAGGGTCACCTGATCTCTCCAGGGACGAGAGACTTGGTGATGGGAAGCTACAAGCCTGTCACGTAGACCTCTTCTGTCCATCGCGAGGAAGAAAGAGGAGAAAACGTGCAAGGATCTCTAATGGCCAGTTTATAGGGCTGGTACAGCAGACTTTTTCAGCGTGGCCCAATAGCCACCTGCATTAGAATCCCTGGGGATGGCTAATAAATGCATATTTGTGGGTTCTACCATCCGAATCAGTTTCTCTGAAAGTGAGGTCTTAGGAGCTATATTTTAGCAAGTGTAAGAAACGTTAAGAACAACTGTAGTATGTGACTTACAAAAATAGTTTTAATTTTATTATAATAATAATAATAATAATAATAATAATAATAATAATAATGTCTTCAGACTAGAAAGGCAGAATGCACACTATCACAGGAGAGAATGGTTAACAAAGCTTAGAGATTATCTAATTGGCTCTAGTTGGTGATTTGTGAGTCGGCCTAACATCCTAGCTAACAGACAGAAAGGAGCTCCGAAGAGCTGCACAAAATATTGCATTGTTGAAAAAGTCATGATGCATTTTTGCAACAGAAAACATAGAAAAAATATGTCATGACTTTTCCGACAACGCAATAGGCGGCTTTTGTAGACAGAAGATGGAGGGACAAGGAAGTTACTAGCAAAGAGGATTGTTTCCGGCAAGGTCACCTCCCTTTAGGGGAAGGTAACCTCAGGCAGGTTACCTCACTTGGGCTACCCAGGAAATTCCAGATTGACTGGTTAAGGTTTTATTCCTGGGGGGAAACTCAAACTGCCACCAGGTAAGGCAGTGAGCTCGGTGACATGGGCTTAGCACACGTGACTCCATTTGGGGCCTGTTGCCCCTTTTTTAACAGTACACACATATTCATTGATGCAAGTTCAGCAGTTATACACATGGCTATAGTTAGAACATCAACCTTATATATTTTAATTAAATGTTTTCCTTCTCGTTAACAAATAAGAGCCCTTTACCAGTATCTGGAGGTTTGTTTATCAGCATTGTGTGCATGGCCATAATATTGGGTCCAGTGAAGCACTGCACGTATTTCAGAATCTAAGGGAAAAGGATTAAAAAAAAAAAAAGTTCATGAGAAATCAGATGCACAGGCAAATGGCACAAAATACAACTGTCTTTACGAGCGCCAAGATGGCAATAGTTTAAAAAACCAATTGGTATTTTATAACATGGCAAACAAAGCACGAAAAAAGGCAGCACTTGGAAATCATTGGCAATCTGTAACACTCTGAACTAAAAGGCTTTTTGGAGCCCTCCGGAAACCTAAGCACTTTCTCTACAAGAGGGATAGAAGTTTCTGAGAGATCCCCTGGGAAGGACAGGAACACCCCTCTGTCATGCAAGCTGCTGATAGTTCAGTATCCTCTTTCTTCACAGAGATTTCATAAGAGACCGTGAAAGGACCCAGCCCATTTGCAGCTGTCAAGCGTAGCCCAGGAGAAAGGAGAACAGCAGCTAGGACACTTCACAACCAGTGCGGCCATTCACTCAACAACCCTTTACTGTCTGTGAACCAGGCAGAATGGCAGGAAATGGGACACAGCAGTGAACAGGATAAGCAGATCCCTGCCCCCAAGGAGTTCATAGTCTGGTGGAAAGAAGTATGTTAAATGATGACATGGGCTATTGTGGCTGAGACGTGCTAGGAAGAAGATGCTGCAATGACAGCATGTGACAGGGAGGGCTGAATTAGTCACGGGCTCTGGCAGCCGGGGTGCTGCCTCCAGCATCTAACCCTTCTTGGGAGGGGTGAAACGCAGAAAGGACTTAACAGTGAATGCCCACAACCTGCCAGAGACTTTATACATCAGCCACACAGTAATCCCTGAAAATGAATGCCCTTGTTAAAATGAACATCCCACACAAATACGCATAAGCCTAAAGATAAGTTGCCCAAGTTGGAAGAGCCAGTTACATAAAAAAGCTGATATTCAAACTCCAACTCTGTCTGACTCCAAAAAAAGAAGCACATTTTACTGCTTTCTCACTATTTGATCTCTTATGTATGAGGAACGTTGGCGATTTGTGTATGAAACACCTGGAACATTACAAAAATCCTAAGTCAGGCCTCATACTTATTTTTTATGAAGCCTATCTTTTTTTTGGTGGGGGGCGGTTTTCACTTAGGCCACTATTTTCTAAATCTCAGTCATTCAACATTTCTGCCACACATTGCAGAATTTCCCAATATAGTTAGCTTATAATTTCCTTCAGTTAACTCATTTTTTTTTTACTTAGTTTTATCCTGATTAATAATATTCTTGAAATCATGGGTTAGATGTGTTGGTAATTTTTTCCTATTACACATGAAAATAGATACCTATTAAAATAACGCATACCTCCTAAAAATCATTGCATGCACCACCAGATACATGGTTCATCCTATAGAGATGTAGAAAACCTGAAAATCCTGATAATGCTTCAGTGACTACAGGTTGTCTCTAATCTCAAGCTTTTCATCCTTGATCCACCTACACAACTTCCGTGTCCATAACAGGACTTGAGGTTGGGGTGAATGGATGGTCCTGAGGAGCCACTTCCCATCTGGTCCCCACCCCAAGGGGCTGGACATCATAGGTGGCGACCTGTACAGTCTTTTTTCATGAGTCACATTCTCTAACAGCACTTAGGGTTATACTTTCTAATAAATACTATATGCGATATCTCCTTTAAATCCATTCTAAATGAATGGTTCACGAACTGTGGTACAAAGAAGCAATGGAATACTGTCCAGTAGTTTTAAAAGTATGAAGTAGATCCACAGATACTGATGGAAAC